GAGGTCTCTGGCAAGGAGACCCGGGGCTGAAGGTTGATCTGATGCGCCGCGTACTGAACCGCGAACGGCCACAGAAAATGGGGAGCAGCCGCATGGATCATGGACGTACGAGTGACGTCCATGACCATGCCAATGCGGCGCTCAGCAATCCCATTTTGCTGTGGAGAGGCCGAAAGCGTGAACGTCTGGTAAATGCCCTGTGCACGACAGAAGGCTCGCAGAAGGTCAGAGGAGAACTCTCCGCCTCTGTCGGAGTGCAGACGCAGAACAAGATTGTCCGAGCCGAAACTCTCTCTAAGATGGAGACGAGCTGCGCGGATCCAGTCGATCAACACCTCAGTGACCTCACCCTTGCTGCGCAAGGGGAAGACTGTGGTGTAACGCGAGTAGTCGTCAACGACCAGCAGGAAGTAACGCTCATGACCCTGTCCACGGACGCGGGCGGGGCCTCACACGTCCAGGTGAAGTGTCTCCAGCGGAGCCTCTGTCGGAGGAAACTCGGAGGAGTGAGGAGCGGCGCGGTGTCGCCCCTCGACGCAAGGAACGCAGGTAGGGGCAGGCCCCGGAGGAAGTGGAAGGAGGGACCGGGGGAGACCAGAGACAAGGACACGGGAGGCCATGCCTCGGAGACCAGGCAGGGAGGGGTGACCAAGGCGGTGGTGCCAGAGGAGAGTCTGGTGAGACAGGAGACGACACGAGCAGGGGGCAGACTCAGGACCAGACCTGGACGCTGCAGCAAACACCTGACCCGACGCAGCTACCTGACCAGACGCAGCAACCGGAGGAGACTCAGTAGTCAGTGTGTACAGGCTCGACCCCGGCTGACGGGTAAACGTGGCCAAGTGTCGGCGCGTCCGAGCACACGTGCAGTGGGTCACTCGCTGACTCGGAGGAGTGAACTGGTCAATCCCCCCATCCTGTAGATCAGCACCAGTCACCAAGTTCGTAGAGAACGAGGGGAGGTTAAGACCTGACAGGGTGCTAGAAGGGGCCGCCGGACACGGTAAGACAGTGGAGAATTGGGCAAGGACAGGACCCCCAGAGGGTTTTGCTAGGGAGACCGCAACTGGCCGACTAAGCGGCGTGAGTGTGGTGCGGTCTTGAAAGAAGGAGCGGGAAGCACCCGAGTCAAGGGTGAAGGTGTGTAAGGCGTGAGCCGACGTGGTACCTGAGAGAGCAGACTCACCAGCACCTGGGGCAGCAGACTCACCAGCACCTGGAGCAACAGACGCGCTAGCACCTAGAGCAGCAGCCTCAGCAGCACCTAGAGCAGCAGCCTCAATTTCCGGGTCAGGTGGAACACACATGTTACAGTCACCCTCATCACTAGTAGGCAATGCATACATGGCAGTGAGGATAGCATCATAGTCAAGAGTATAGATATCTACCCTCAGCCTAAGCAGCTTCACCTAGTCGGGGAGCTCAACCGCGTCGCCAAACTCCGTACGCCAGGCGTCGCTCAGACGGGCAAAGTAGCGGGACTCTGCGTGACCAAACGTTCCGCAAGGCTGACCAGTCCGAGCACCAGTGCGAATGACGTACGGACAGCGAGCAGTACCCCGTGACCCTCCACGCTGAGCGTACCACTCACAAAGCTGCTGGGGCGAAAGGACCGCGCGCGAACTACGCTGCAGCTGCGCCTAGCCACTACGATTAGCTCCCGAACTCCTCACGCCACAACAACTCCCACTACGGCCACCCCGACAACCCCAAGTAGCGTACCACTCACGAAACTGCTGGGGCGTGAGGGACTCACGCGGACGTCGTTGGAGTTGCATCTGGCCACTGCTAGGAGCAGCAGGAGCAGTGGTAGCCGCAGTAGCAGCAGCACTAGCAATAGCAGTACTCGCAGCGCGGCCACCCCTACAACCCCAACTAGCGTACCAATCACGAAGCTGTTGGAGGGTGAGGGACTCACGCGGACGGCGCTGGAGCTGCATCTGGCCACGCCACGAGCAGCAGTAGTAGTAGAAAGAGCAGTAGCAGCAAGGGCAGTTCTCACCAGTGGCGAGAAGGGCAGGCGTATGACGGCGCCAACGGCGAGGCCGCTACCACTGTAGGGCGAGGGCTCCGCGGCAGCTGCAGGGGCGGCTGCTCCAAGGGCGGGTGCTGCAGGGGCTGCTGCTCTAGGGGCGCCTGTTGCAGGGGCGGCTGCTCTAGGGGCGGCTGCTCCAGGGGCGGCTGCTCCAGGGGCGGCTGCTGCAGTGGCGGCTGCTCCAGGGGCGGCTGCTGCAGGGGCGGCTGCTCCAGGGGCGGCTGTTGCAGGGGCGGCTGCTCCAGGGGCGGCTGCTGCAGTGGCGGCTGCTCCAGGGCGCGGGTTAGGGCAGGGCGCCGTGGCAGGCAGGGGTGACGCCACACGGGTCCCGGAGGGGCGTCGCGACGCGCAGGAGCCGCGCCTCGCGGGTCCCGCAGGGGCGTCGCGACGAGGCGGGGACGACGCGTGGGTCCCGTTGAGGCGACGCGACGAGGCAGGGGCGACGGGGCGGGGCCGCGACTGGCGACGGGGCGGGGCCGCGAATGGCGACGGGGCGGGGCCGCGACTGGCGACGGGGCGGGGCCGCGACTGGCGACGAGGCGGGGCCGCTACGGGCAGCGGGGCGGGGCCGCGAAGGGAGCCGCGAGGGGGCCGTGAAGGGGCCGCGAAGGGGCCGCGAAGGGGCCGTTAAGGGGCCGCGAAGGGGCCGTGAAGGGGCCGCGAAGGGGCCGCGAAGGGGCCGTGAAGGGGCCGCAAAGGGGCCGCGAAGGGGCCGCTAAGGGGCCGTGAAGGGGCCGTGAAGGGGCCGCTAAGGGGCCGCGAAGGGGCCGTGAAGGGGACGCAAAGGGGCCGTGAAGGGGCCGCTGAGGGGCCGAGAAGGGGCCGCGAAGGGAGGCCGCTAAGGGGCCTCGAAGGGGCCGCAAAGGGGGGCCGCGACGGGCCTCAGGAGCACGGCAGGCTGCTAAGGGGCCGCTAAAGGGTAGGGCAGGTCAGAGCGCGAGGCGCGCTTCGGGCAGGTTAGGAAAAACAAAATTTAATGGTGGGCCCTTGGGAAGAAACGGTCCCACTAGGGAACCTGCTCTATACCATGTGAAAATAACGAGGAATGAGTTGACTAGGAAACATGTGGGTACAAGTAGGAAACCTAGAAGTGTTGTACCCTATAGTGTCTACCCCACTACAGCCTAGATAGATCATAGCATATAAGTTTGACAAGAATCCAATCCTCCTCCGTGACCGTTCCACCGAGGTCCATGAACGTTTCCCCGAGTTCCTCCACACGAGTCGCATACTCGTGCATCGATTCGCCCGCGCGCATCTTCACCGTGTAGAACGCATTTCGGGCTAGGATCTTGCCGTGGAGAGTCTTGTTCACGTGGATAGTCTCGAGCCGCTTCCACGCTTCATGCGCCGACGCTTCGAGCTTGATGCACATGCGCACCGAGCTCACGAGATTGATGCCGATGCGTGATTTCAACGTAGCGAACGCCTTTTGGTCCTTCTTCTTCCATGTCGTGATGCCGCTCTCGTCGTCCGGCTTCTTCTCCGTTCCATCGAAGAAACCCCAAAGTCCTCCCTCCATCATGAGCACTTGGAACTTAAACTTCCACGCGGAGTAGTTTTGTCCCGTGAAAATCGGTACCGCCGACGTGTCGAACATCGTCGCGGTTGCCAAGGGTGTCAAACTTATATGATCTAGCCTGTGTAGGCTGTAGCGGTTTAGATACTAAGGGGTACACAATTCTAGGGTTTCATATTTGTATCACTTTCATTCCTTAGTGATTCATTCTCGTTCTAAGTTTCTCATGGTATCAAGCAGGTTCCCTAGTGGGAACTCTCCTAGGGCCCACCAAGATCGAGTTTTTTTTTCCTGCCCGGGGCGCGCGTTGTCCCCTGCCCGAGGCGCGCCTAGTGTTCTGCCCCTAGCGGCCCGTCGCGCCCTCCTTAGCGGCCCCGTCGTGCCCTCCTTAGCGGCCCGTCGCGCCGCCCTTAGCGGCCCTGTCGCCGCCCTTTCAGCGGCCCCGTCGCCGCCCTTTCAGCGGCCCCGTCTGTTAGAGACTAAGGACGGAGTCTATGAAGATTAGGTGTCTAAATTTCTCAAAAATCGTTGGCTTAGAATTCTGGACAGAAAAGTTGCGCTCACAAGAAACGCCGCCGACAAAAAACGCACTGTCAAAACTTCACCAATTTCAGATATGTTGTAGCTCTAGTTTGTGGATACATTTTCCTGGTTGAATCGTACAGAAAGGTGAAGTATTTCTTGAGTTATCAATTTTGGCGCACTAGGGGGTATGCTGCCATGGAATCTTAACTCAATCACAAAGTTCTTATAATTACCACACAAAAAATGTTAGAGTAGCACTAAACCAGGTGGAAGGGATGAGGAGGATGAGAGGGAAGGTCCCAAGAGTGTCCCCAACCAAGGAAACCCCATGCCACACAATTCCCTTCCCCATAGGCAACCCAACTTTGACCTTTGTCACTATCCCAACCTCCACAATCCACCTCAACCCAACTTGGCCACACTTGCCAACCTGGTTTGGTTTCTCCCAACCATTTGGCAGCAAATACAGTAGAAAAGACGAATTTCCCAACCCCCAAAAGTCTGTACCCCATATTGAGTCAACCCCGCAACTTCCCACAGTTGCCACAATCAAATATGAAAAGCATACGAACTCCAACGTTCGTAACTTTCTTGTTCGTGCTCCGATTGAAGCGATACTTGGTTCGTCGGAAAGCTCTCGAGCAGAGGAGTCACTTCAGACATCTGCTCAAGCCAAATAACATTCACACACACTCAGAAAATTCAAACCACACAAAACACAATTTCTTGCGCACGCTCACACCTTGCATGCAGCGCACGAACATATGATGGGAGGCAGACAGACGTGAATGCAGATGATAGCATCACATAACACCGTCGCCGCCCTCTCAGCGGCCCCGTTGCCGCCCTTTCAGCGGCCCCGTTGCCGCCTCTTAGCGGCCTCATCGCCGCCCTTCAGCGGCCCCGTCGCCGCCCCTTTCCATGGCCCCGTCGCCGCCCCTTTCCGCGGCCCCGTCGCCGCCTCCCCCCTTTCAGCGGCCCCGTCGCCGCCCTTTCAGCGGCCCCGTCGCCGCCCTTTCAGCGGCCCCGTCGCCGCCCTTTCAGCGGCCCCGACGCCGCCCTCTCAGCGGCCTCGTCGCCGCCCTTTCAGCGGCCTCGTCGCCGCCTCTTAGCGGCCTTGTCGCCGCCCTTCAGCGGCCCCGTCGCCGCCCTTTAGCGGCCCCGTCGCCGCCCCTTTCCGTGGCCCCGTCGCCACCACTTTCCGCGGCCCCGTCGCCGCCCCTACTCGGCCTCGTCGCCGCCCCTTTCGGCGGCCTCGTCGCCGTCCTGCAGCGGCCCCGTCGCCGCTCCTTCGCGACAGCGACGCCGCCCTTCACGGCCCCGCCGAGCCTCCTTCGCTGCCAAGCCGCTGAGCCGCCTTTGCCGCCGAGCCGCCTTTGCCGCCGAGCCGCGGAGCCGCCTTTGCCGCCGAGCCGCAGAGCCGCCGAGCCGCATTGCAGCCGAGCCGCAGAGCCGCCGGGCCGCCGCAGCTGAGACGCCACCGTCACTACAGTAGCGGCCCTGTCCCTGCCGACCTGCCCCGGACCGCCTCACTTGCCTGGTAAGAGCACCGCCTCTGCCACTGCACTGCCCTACCCCACTGTGCTCACTGCCTGTCTACTGCTGTCATGGCCACCCTCAGTGTTCTCACCTTTGACGCTGAGGGTCGTGCTGTTGACTTTGAGGTCTGGGTAGATGATATGCAGCTTTTCCTACAGTGCGATAGAACAGACGGTCTCTCCCTGTTTGACCTCACCTCTGGTGCCTCTCGTGCCCCTGCTGCTGATGCTGACGCCACTGTTCGCTCACAGTGGGCCACGCGCGATGCTGCTGCTCGCCTTGCTGTGCGCCGCCACTTACTGACCGCTGAGCGCGCGCATTTTAGTCAGTACATGAGTGCTAAGACCTTGTACGGCGCTGTCGTTGCACGCTACTCTTCCCCTGCCACTGCTGCCCTTAGTCGCCTCATACTGCCGTACCTCTTCCCTGACCTCGCCGCTTTTCCCACAGTCGCTGACCTCATTACGCACCTTCGCACTAGTGTCATTCGCTACCGCGCTGCGCTTCTTGCAGAGTTATGCGCCAAGAACCCCCCCCCTATGTACATCATCCTCTACTACATAGTCACCCGACTCCCTGACACCCTTCGCTCGGTCAGGGACCACTTCTTCTCTGTTTGCCCCACCACCCTCACCGGTGACCTCCTCGAGGAGCGCCTCCTAGCAGCAGAAAAGAGTATAGTCGCTGTAGGAGCCTCTCGTGGTGACCCTCGTACCCCTGTCTTTGAGGGGTGCTCCCCCTCCCCCCTCTTGCCCTTTGTTGCCTCTGCTGCTGCGGCCGACCTCGTTGGTCTTGAGTCGGTCGGCGCGGCGTCTGCCCCTAGCGGGAGACGCCGCTCAGGCAAGGGCAAGGAGGGCAAGGGCACTGGAGGAGCTGGCGGGGGCGGTGGAGGCGGCGGTGGAGGCGACGGAGGGGGTGGGGGTGGCGGTTTGAGTGGTGGCGGGGGTGGGGGCGCTAGTGGCGGCAGTGGAGGCGGAGGAGGCGGCAGTAGTGGCGGTGCGGGCGGAGGTGGCGGAGGTGAAGGCGGTGGTGGAGGTAGCGGCGGCGGAGGTGGAGCTGGTCGGGGCGGCGGGACCGTAGGACAGGGGAGGACAGTGGAGGAGGTTGCAAGGACCGGACCCCCAGAAGAGTCAGCGAGGGAGACTGCAACCGGCCGAGCAAGCTGCTCAAGGGCCGTGCGGTCACAAAAGAAACAGCGAGAAGCACCTGAGTCCAGTGTGAAGGTGTGTAGTGCCTCAGTCGGCTCAGTACCAGGGGGCGCAGACTCACTAGTCGCTTGAGCGGTAGCCTCACTAGTACCTGGGGTAGCAGACACTCTAGCACCTAGAGCGGCAGCCTCACTGGTCCGAATGCCCGGGTCGGGCGGAACACGCAGGTACTGAGCACCCTCTCCACTAATAGACATCACATACATGGCAGTGAGAATAGCATCAAAGTCTAGTGCAAAGATATCAATGTTTTTCTTTATCAGATCAGCCCAGCGGGGCAGCTCAGTGGCCTCAGGAAACTGAGTGCGCCAAGCGTCATTGAGGCGAGAGAAGCAGCGCTGTGTGGGGTGAGCCCTCCCACACGTCTGACCAGTGCGGTCACCAGTGCGGATAACGTACGTGCAGCTAAGGCCACCCCCCCCCCCCCCCCCCCCCCCCGTGCTGAGAGTACCACTCACGGAGCTCCTAGGGCGACGAAGTGTGCTGCTGGCTCTGGCCACTGCCAGCGCCTCCACGACCACCACTGCCGCCGCCAACTCCTCGACCACCCCCTCCCCTGCCGCTGCCGCATCCACCGCCGCCCCAACCACCACCCCCGCCCCTGCCACTTCCCCCGCCGCTGCCGCCACCACCCCCACCGCTGCCACTAGCCCCTCCAGCCCCACCACCACCCCCACCGCCGCCACCACCCCCACCATCGCCTCCCTCGCCGTCAATTCCGCCTCCCTTGCCCCCTTTGCCCTTGCCGCTGCAGCGCCAGCTCGAAGCCGACGCAGTCCCGACCTTCTCAGCACCAAGGAGGTCGACAGCAAAAGCAGAGGCTACAAAGGGAAGAAGGGGGGAAGGGGAACACCCCTCGAAGAAAGGGGTGCGGGGGTCGCCACGAGAGGCACCTACAGCGACTATGCTAGCCTCAGCTGCAAGTAGTTCCTTCTCGAGGAGGGCAATGGTGAGCTCAGTGGGGCAGCGAGCTAGGAAGTGGTCCCTGACAGCACGTAGAGAGTTAGGGAGGCGGGTGACTAGGTGGTAGAGAGTGAGCCAGACGGGGGGGGGGGGTTCGTGGCAAGAAACTCATCAGGCATAGCGGCACGGAAGCGGGCCTCACTAGTACGGAGGTGCGTGATGAGGTCAGCGACTGTGTGGAAGGAGGCGAGGTCGGGGAACAAGTAGGGGAGTGAGAGACGGCCTAGCGCGGCAGAGGCAGGTGAGGAGTAGCGGGCAACGACAGCAGTGTACAGTGCCTGTACAGTCTTATGCTGGCCAAAGTGCTCACGCTCATCTATCGGCAGGGAGTTGCGAATAGCAAAGCGAGCGTGGGCGTCACGAGTCTGCCACTGTGAGCGGGCAGTGCTGTCAGCAGTAGCAGCAGGGGCAGTGGCATGGCCTAGGGCGTGATCGTACAGTGAGATGTCCTCCTTGGCAGTGAGATGTAGGAAGAGGTGCAGGTCATCTAGCCAGGTGTCAAACTTCATTGGGCGGCCCTCAGTATCGAAAGTTAGTACAGGAGGGCTAGCCATAGTAGCAGTAGGAGCAGCAGTATAGTAGAAGGAGCAGTAGCAGTAGGTGCACCCTAAAAGCAGTAGGCAGCGCGACATAGGTAGGGCGGCTCGGTCCAGAAAGGGTGCTCAGTACGGGCGGCGTGGTTCAGTTCAAGTAGGGCGGCGCGGCTCGGTTCGGGCGGCTCGGCTCGGCTCGAGCTGGGCGGCTCGGTTCGGGCGGCTCGGTTCGGGTGGCCTGGTTCTGGTGGGGCCGTGGCTGTCGCGTGCGGGGCGCTAAGGGGCTTCGCGTGGGGTCGACGGGGCCGCTAAAGGGTGAGCGCGCGGGGTCTACGGGGCTGATGGGGCCGCTAAGGGACGGCGCGCGGGGTCGACGGGGCCAGCGGGGCCTCTAGGCGGGGCGCACGTGGGGTCGACAGGGCCAGCGAAGCCTCTAGGCGGGGCCGACGCGACCTCTAGGAGGGGCGTGCGCGGGGTCGACGGGCCGACGGTGCCTCTAGGTGGGGCTGACGGGGCCTCTAAATGGGGCGCGCGGGCCGACGGGGCCTCTAGGTGGGGCCGAAAACGCCTCTTGGTGGGGTGCGCGGGCCGACGGGGCCTCTAGGTGGGGCCGACGGGGCCTTTAGGTGGGGCGCACTCGGGGTCGACGGGCCGACGGGGCCTCTAAGGGGCGGCGCGCGGGTCGCTAAGGGGCCGTTAAAAGAGGGGCACTTGGGGAGGCGCTCGAGGGCGCTCCGACAGTGAGGCGCACGAGGGCGCTAGTAGGCAGTCAGCAGTGGTGGGCCCTAAGAAATCGGTCCTAGCGAAGGACCTGCTCTTTATACCATGTTAGAGAATGAATCGTTGAATTGAAAGAGAAGTGAGTACAAGTACCTAAACCTAGAATTGTGTACCCCCTGAAGGCTAACCCACTGTAGCCTAAACAAATACAACATATATAATGTTTGACACCAGGTGCTGGTGAGTCTGCGCTCTCAGGTACCGCGTCGGCTCCAGCCACCCACACCTTCACCCTTGACTCGGGTGCTTCCTGCTCCTTTTTTCGAGACCGCACCACGCTTACGCCGCTTAGTCGGCCAGTGGCAGTCTCCCTGGCAAACCCCTCTGGGGGTCCTGTCCTTGCCAACTTCTCCACTATTCTACCGTGTCCGGCGGCCCCTTCTGGCACCCTGTCATGTCTTTACCTCCCCTCGTTCTCTACGAACTTGGTGAGTGGTGCTGACCTCCATGATGGAGGGGTTCACCAGTTCACTCCTGCGAGTCAGCGAGTGACCCACTGTACCTGTGCTCGGACGGGCCGTCACTTGGCCACGTTTACCCGTGAGCCGGGGTCGAGCCTGTACACACTGACTACTGAGTCTCCTCCGGTCGCTGAGTCTGCTCAGGTAGCCGCGTCGGGTCAGGTGTCTGCTGCGGCGTCCAGGTCTGGTCCTAAGTCTGCCCCTTGCTCGTGTCGTCTTCTGTCTCACCAGAATCTCCTCTGGCACCACTGCCTTGGTCACCCCTCCCTGCCTCGTCTTCGCGCCATGGCCTCCCGTTGTGAGAGTACGACGGCTTATGCCAGCTATGCTTGCTTGCCTTTACTTTATCATGCTATTTCTAGCATAGGATAATCATATGCATGCATGAATTGCTTGATTTCCTAGGCTAGGTGCTTTCCTATATTTTATTATAGTTATAGCACCGAGCTAGGTTGCGTGCACCGAATTCTGGCTTTTCGGTTGCCACCGAATTGCCTTCTACCGAATTCGGTAAGGATCTGTTCGGGACGCTTCGCGACCCGCGGAACCTTCGCGTAACACCTGGTTACGGGGCCTTGTGTCGAGCCTATATATAGCCTCGTGTTGTACCCAGGTGGACATTCAATTCAATTCAATTCAATTTGAATCATCTTTTCTGAGCTCGATCCCAGATCCTCACACTTAGTATCAGAGCGGGTCTACACGCGAGGTCTTCAACCGCTTAGTTCCGGCCTTTAAAAACCGCGGGGGCGACGACGAAAGCGCCGATACGGGTATGTAAAACCAGTTCCGCGCAATTTTTCTAAGTCCCCCTCGATTCGGTTTTCGAACACCCCTCAGATTTACTGGTGGAAAGGTTGGAGTTTCGGCCGTTCGATTGAGTTTCATCTCAACGGCCCAGAGAATTTCACCCAAAAAGGTTGGAATTTGGAGCGTCGGATCGATTTTCTCCTCAACGGCCAAGATCGGACGCGAATTTTGCCTAAGGGAGATTTACGCAACCTACAGAATTCGCGCTCGTCGATTCTACAGTCAATTTGACTCGCAGTAAGTCGACCAGCACCTAGAATTCGATTCTTTTCGTCGCGCATCTTCCTGTAAATCGCCAAATGGAGGGAAAAGGAGATATTTCAGTACAGAAAATCTCGGAGTTACGTGCTGAGCATAAGCAAATACGTGCAGCGCTTCCACGACTCGAAAAACTCCTTGCGAACCAGTCGGCAACCGCCACAGCAGCAGCGACAACAGTAGTAGCAGCAGCAGCGGCTACACCGACAATTCTACATGCGACAACGGCAGCAGCTACAGTTAACCTCGAAGTAGTGAAGCCGAGGCTACCGGAGGCGTTCGATCCTACACTAAAAAGGAATGACGTTCGTCGATTTGTAGCTGAACTCGAAATTTACTTCGAAGCCGTTAGATGCACGACCCGACAAAAGACGCAATGCGCATACGGCTCGCAGCAACACTGTTACGAGGCCCAGCTCTAGAGTGGATCAACAACAGAATAGTCCAAGGCGAGGGGACGTGGGCGCAGGTTCCGGCAGCACTGATCGAACAGTTCGACACGCTGAACAGTAGCTACTACGGAACACGACGCAACAAGCCAACTAGTGGCATGGGGCGATTGGCACCACCCACGACTGCCGACCCAATGGAGAACGACGAGGGCGATGTGGAGCAGCGGCTAGCAAATAATGACACGTGCAAATTTTGCGGCGCTACTGGACATCGTATCTTGGCGTGTTGGAAAATGAAGAGAAGGTGTGCGGAGCTGAAGGACAAGAACAGTGCGGCACCCCCGAAGCAGAAAACGGACAACGTGGCAACTTCGGAGAGGGCGAAAAAAGGAGAATATGGTGGCGCAAATTTAAAACGTCACGACCAGCCGGCACCAGGGGAAATCGCCGAGACTAATGGAGGATCCGCAAAACAAGACCCTGCACCGACCGGGAAACTCCAGCCGTATACCCCGACAAGTAAGAATATTACTTCTCGTGGGTTTCAAGCCTTTATTAAGGGAGAGTTAGAAATTAAACCGGTACCGTGTATTATGGGGACCCTACTCCAGAGCGCTAATACGGGTCGAGCGTTCCGAGGAGTTAATATTCTCTCCCAGCAGCACTGTTTAAAGGCTCCCTGTTCCCCACAGATGAAGCCTACACAGCTGCAAAGGCTTAGTGGAAGGTTCCAGGCCCAAGAGAAGCCGAATTGGCCTCGGATAAATCCTTCTAACCTTTCTCAGTTGAAAACTGATACTGAAGCTGCATCTTTGAGCGCAGGACCTAGGGATAACATATTCGACGTACCCTACGATCCTATAAGCGATACCATCTACGGATACTCGGAGCAGCAGCAACCACTAGTACTCGAGGTGATCTGCAACGGGCGTCGCCTCCAGGCCCTGGTGGACAGTGGTGCGTCCCACTCGGTGTGCGACCGCGGGACGTTGGAGAAAATTGGAGAATCCTAAGAAGAAACCCAGTTTACAGCAAC